ATAGGTGGCACAATATCGAAATGGTGGAAACAACCCAAACAGTCATCAATGAATGAATGGCTAAAGAAAATGTGATCTGAGCATTCAATGGAATTATTCAGGCATAAAAAGATAAAGTTCTGATGCATGCTACAATATGAATGAACCTCAAAAAAACATTATGCTAAGAAAAAAAGCCAGACACAAAAGATCCCATAATTCTATGATTCCATTGATGGGAAAAATCCAGAATAGGTAAATCCACAGACAAAATGCAGAATGGTGGTTGCCAGGGGCTCAGGGAGTAGGAAATGGAATACAGCTGCTCAGAGGGCCCAGGGTTGCCTTTGGGGGTCATAAAAATATTTGCAAGGTAGAGTTAGTACGTGTACAGTCCTGTGAATGCACTAAATGCCACTACTCAGTTCAGAGTGGTTATTTTTATCTTACGTCATGTCAATAAAAAATTACTTAAGGTGATAAACTGCAGCTACCTAAGTTGTGGACACCTCTCACACACCTCACAGAAACAGGTCTGTAAAGACCAGTCCCTCTAACTGTGGGTATCAGTGAGCAGCCAAGCCCAAAACCAAACAACCAATGTACTCATCAATTCAAACCAGTTCATAAAAAGTTTCAGAATCGCCTCCTTTAAATTTGATAGATCATCCGCTTGCTTCAGTGAAGAGAAAATTAATCCTGCGAGATGAAATAATCTCCTACCATTTATTATATTAATCTCCTACCATTTATAAACAATGAAAAACAAATCTTTGCAGCAGAGGTGGGAGAGCAGAGGAAAGGGATAACGGACTGAGGGAGACATGGGGAGATATTCTGGAGATGGAAGACAGAAGAGCATATTATACTCTGATGAAAATGAGAAAGGGAACAGCTGAAGAGGCGGAGGGAAGGGGATAATTTCAGGGCAGAGTATCTGCGTGCAGAGGGAGGCGCTGGGTCGGGCTGATGGCTGTTTAATCGCAGCGTTTGCTTGCAGGGCACTTCCTGCAGACGTCTTATTTCGGGGCACATCGCCACGGGAGGAACCTGCTGCCCACCACAGCTCGCGGGATGCCAGGGACACCCTATCTACGACGTTTGTATTTTCCAGCCATTACAGACCACAGCACCTTCTGAACTCTCTCTGAATCACATGCCACACAGACTTAAACGCAGCTGCCTTTCCATGCAAGAGTGAGAAATCCATCTCTTACTGCCGATGGTTAATCCCCCAAGAGCACTGGGGCTTCCGTTTTGTTAAAAAATAGAGCAACAAACAGAACTTTGTAACATCTTAAAGGCAATTCACAGCTAAATCCCACAGCCTATCAATTTCTTGAGAATATTTGAAAAATTACTGCTGTTTAAAAAAACTGAGAGCAAACACTTTGTAAATTCTTAGGTTAACTTAACTCAAAGGCCCAAAGGAAGAATTCTAAATCAAATAGGAATATGCAGGAATTTTAACAAGTGAGCTTTAAATAAAAACACTAAGAAATCACAGAATAGAATGAAAATTAAACCAAGCCAGGCAGTATTTCAAACAGCTAATTTAGCCTATTGCACTCCGTGCCTCAGTTTCCTTGCCTGTAGAAAGAGATTATGACCTCAGTTCTCTACCCACCTTGCCACAGCAGCATGCATATTCACACGAAGGTAAGTATGCCTCACTTTCTATAAAAATAGGCATTAAGAACTGTATATAAATAAATTTATAAATCATTTTAAATATAGCTGGAGATTTCTCATTTAAAGAAGTATCTGTTGAATTATGTTATACTTTCTTTACTAAAAAGAATTTTAAGGACAGCTTTTTAAAAGCCAGATATTTACGCTGGGATTTTCTTATTAAGTGACTTGGGCTTACCCATCAAGTATTTTAATTCTCTGGGTAAATATGCCATATATTAAAATTGTATGTTTTTTAAGCATGATGTTAAGATAATAACCCTCGCTCAAAGGCAAGTGTTGATGCTAATAGTTCAAGAACCAAAAAAACCTAGAAAAGCTTCCTGGCCTTCAATGTAAGAGGCCTGGTTCTCCTCTGATCCCACATCAGCAGCCACTGGCGATCAGAGCTAACCTCCATCTGTCGCACTCCTTCTTCTTTGTCTAACACATTCAGCATCTGGCTCTCCTCCATGGAATGTAAGCGCCCTGAGGGCAGGGGCTTGGGGTCACTGTTAGGATCACACCCAACACAGACTGGGGGGCTTAACCAATCAAAATGCCTGTCTCACAGCTCAGGAGGCTGGAGTGGGAGGAAGGTGTGGGCAGGGTTGGTTCCTTCTGAGGCCTCTCTCCTTGGCTTATAGACAGCTGTTCTCTCCCTGTGTCCTCACATGGACGTCCCTCTGTATGTGTCTGTGTCCTGACGTCCTCTTCTTATATGGACACCAGTCACACTGGATTAGGGCCACACACACGACCTCACTTTACCTTAATGAACCTTTTTAAAGGCTCTGTCTCCAAATACAGTCACATCTGAAATACTGGGGGTGAGGACTTCACCATGTGAATTGGGAGGAACACAGCTCAGCCACAGAGGTAAGGAAGGAAGTTGCTAAAACTTTTAAAATGATAATTCTTAGGTATCACTAATAAAGTTTCTCTGCATCGTTAGAAAACATTTGCTTTAATGAATGATTAATACTCAGTGTTTAGTTTTTAAACCCTTTTCAAATACATAAATAATTCCTGAGTCTTCTGGACGTACCTGTCAGCAGGGCTTCCTGTTCCACTCGGAGTTCCCGAAAAAGAAGAATCAAATCAACAGCAATGCCGATTGTATCCAAGTTCCTGTGTCGTGATGTTAAAAGAGACAAAGTTAGACACGTTCCCAAGCCCACATTTCACATGATCCAAAAGCAGCGCTGAGCCTGCTGGGGACAGTGCCTATGGCCAGCAGAAAAAACAATGGTCTCCAAAGAAAGAGTTCAGAATGTACTGCTTTCTGTAATTGAACAATCAGCCCCATTAGCTCCCCACACCTGTGAATGTGACCTCACAGGGCAGAGGGGACTTCCCAGCAGGAGTATATTAAGGACCCTGAGGTGGGAAGAGTGTCCTGGAGTGTCAGGTGGGGCAACTGAACCACAGGGTGCTTGTAAGGGGAAGAGAGAAGGTCAGGGTCAGGGAGGGAGGCCACGAGCCCAGAAATGCAGGCAGCCTCTCAAAGCTGAAAAACGTTCTCCTGAGCGTCCAGAAGGACTCTCCGTGTCACCTCAGTCACCTCAGCGGACACAGGAGAGATGGCATTACCCAGGAAAGCTCTATGGCAGCCCCTCCTGTCTAATGTGAATCCCTATTACATATGAGGCCCAAAGGATTTGAGAAGGTTATACCAGTAGAAACCCTGCCAACTTGAACAAAATGCACAGAGAAAGGATGAAATGAAAGGTAGTCAGACTCCCCAAATTCTACAGGTAGAAAACAGGCTGATAACTACTCAGCTACAAACATGTGTACCCTTGAAGAAAAAGGATGACGCTAAGGGCGGGGCCATGGGCAGAGTCTCAAGCCACAGAGGCTTAATGCCCGGCCTTGACACCTGAGTTTGCCCAACTGGATTTTGAAACTGCTTAGGGCCAGCGACTCCCCTTCCCTTCCATTCTCTCCACTTTAAAGGGAAATGGCTAACACTGTTATCCGATGCCTGTCCCACCACTGTATTTTGGAATAAAAAAACTCATTTTCTAGTTTCACGTATCATGGGACATGGCCAGGCTCTTTCGTTCACCTACTATGTACGGCTGCCTTCACACTACCAGGGGAGAAATGAGAAATTCTGACAGAGGTCACAGAGCCTAAAGTACTTATTATCTGGCCCTTTACAGAAGAAGTACAGCAACCTCTGCAATCGGGTGACATTTACATGCAGAGCTAACCACTTCCAACAGTGTTCTCTGAGCACTTCCTGAACTGTCATGATCGGATGGTCTGCTCGGCCGTATTAGGCCCCGTTCCACACATCCTAGAGAAATAGCAGCCACATTCACACACAGTGCAGTGTTCATACAGATGATGTGATAAGGTCTAAGTCTCAGTAGCATCACACCTTCTGACTAACTCTTTAGTAACTTAAGGTAAAACACCAGGAAAATATATGTTGGTTGTGATCTGAATCTTGACAGGTTCAGAACTGGCTTCAGCACATTGTATGCGGGAAACGGATTTATACGTTTTACGTTGACTGTAAGCAGTAGAGCCACCTGTTACTACCCGCATACAACGTGTTGAAGGTTAGCCTTGAAGGCCTTAGAGAATCTTTGTTGTATTTCTGACTAGAAAATGTTTTATTCTGAGCTGATACCCTAAATAGTTGGAATTTCTCTTTAAAATCAACAGTAAATAAATATAAATCTAGAAGGTAAAAGGCAGGAAAACTAACAAAATTCTATCTTGGTGTCTTCATTTTGTGCAACTTACGGGCAGGTTGAAATGAAACCGAACATTTTGACCCAACTGTAAGTTGCAAGAAATAAAGACAACACGACCACGGAGCATGGCCCAGCCAGGAGACCGCTGGTGTTTATCTGCCACAGTATTTATTTGTGTAACGTTTGAATTTTTATAGTTTACATATATTACTTTTGTACTCAAGAAAGAAAATAAAGTGAATTGTTTTCCAAGAGAGTAACATAGCGTTTATTGACTGTACGGTCGCTTCCCAGGCAGGGGCAGAAACGACGTGCTGAGCGGTGCGCCCGGGACCAGCAGGCACTTTACGTAGTAATCTCATCTAAAACTCACCCGGTGGATAGACAGGAGAAGCCGGTACTCAGGCGAAGGCCCTTGTCCAGGGCCAAGGGCTGTTACAGGGACGGCAGTCACACACAACAGGGTCAGTGGCGGCTGCTCTGAGCTGAGCTCTAGGCTGGAGTCAGAAGGAACACTCCTGGGCTCTTAGTGATGAGTGACTCGGACAAGTTCCTTAACCTCTGAGTCACAGTTCTTCCATTGTAAAAATGGGAAAACAGCAGCATACTATTTCTTTTTCTTTCTTTTCTTTTTTTTTACATGTATGGAGCCATCGCACAGACAACTTGATAACTATACAGACCCTGTCGGCAGGAACCATATGTTTTGATGTGTGTCACTGCCTATGGTTGCACTGCAGCATACTATTTCTTGAATTTGTTCTCAGGATCACACAAGACACTGCAAGTCAAGTCCTTGAGCTACAAAACCTGGTGCTTAGGGCAGGCGCGCAGAATGCCCGCTTCCTTTCCTGAGAGGCTGGCCAAGCGTCAAGACAGCCCTGCCAGCCCACAGCCAGTTTCTGCTCTAACTCCCCCTCCCTCCCCCCTCACACGAGAGAGCCCCCCTGCCTAGAAAGAGACAAAAGAAACCTGCCCCTGGCCCACTCTTGCAGCACACAACCAGTTATGTTTTTAAATGTTGACTATTATTATCAAGATTATAATTGTTTCTATCCATTTGTCTGCAAAAGGATGGCAGGTTTGGTTTGGAATTAAAGTTAAACAACCCTAGCTTTTTTCCCTCTCGCCTTTTATCTTAAAAATCCCATTAATCACAGGGAAGCCTCAGGTATCAGAACTGTCTAGGCAGCGCAGGGCGTCCCCCTCAAGTGGCTTCTGGACCAGCCCGACTGCACCCATCACCGCAGTGACAGGGAGGCCCGGAGGCTCGTCTACACTCAAGTCCAGGAAAGAAAGGTGAGCGTGCTCTTTGAGGCTTCTGATTTCATCTCAAGTAAAAATGTTTAATAAAAAGCAGATTCCATAAAATCAAAGAGGAAAGGTGTTCAGTTCTGGGAGGAGAGAGCAACGTGTCAAAGAACGCGCACAGCACCGAGCAGTTTTTGCTCAGCTTTCAGCCACGTTATAAAACAGGTGGAGCCCGGCCAGCGCGGCTCAGTGGTTGAGCGTTGACCTACGAACCAGGAGGTCACGGTTTGAGTCCTGGTCAGGGCACATGCCCAGGTTGTGGGCTCGATCCCCAGTAAGGGGCGTGCAGGAGGCAGCAGGTCAATGATTCTCTCTCATCATTGATGTGTCTATCTCTCTCCTTATCCCTTCCTCTCTGAAATCAATAAAAATATTTAAATAAATAAAACAGGTGGAAGTGGAGTCTTAAGACAGGTCATCTTAGACCTTTACAAAACCTGCTCCCTGTTCAAAGCAAACACAAGGGCCACTCATTTAAGCACTGAAACGAATGAAAGCACTGACAGCGAAGACCAGCGAGGCCCAGAGCTGCATGTGCATTAGGCAGTCTGGGATCAACGACTCAGAATTAAGTTCCCATGTGTGCTGTGGAAAACCAAGTGCCTCAAAACACATAAATGCAAGTGAGAAACCTAAAGAACCCCCATGCTAACCACACTCTGTGGCGGTCACACCATTCTCTACCGGAGTCCTTCTCCCCCGTGACACTGTAATGCCCAGCGGTTTCTCAGAGCACAGGTGAGGACAAGCACGCCACCTGATGGAGTTCTGGTTCACGGCGCACTCGATGCAGGCGTTGCGGAGGCACCGGAAGCACTCTGTTATCAGCTGCAGACTCGAGGCCAGGTGCTCCACGCGGGACGGGTCTCTGCAGGCCAGCTCGACGGTGCGAGCGGATCTCTTCAAGATATCCAGGACTCTTTGGAAGATGGTCCTGGGTGCAGTTTCCCTGAAAGAGGACAAAACTGTCACCAACCAGAAAACAATAACCTAATCTCCCCACGTTCTGTTCAGAACACAGCCTGTCCTTCTTTCTGGGAGGGCGGGGAGGTGGGCTAGGCCTGCCTGGGCCAGCTCCCTAGTTAACAACACAAAATAAAAGAGCTACACGCACTGAGCGTACATGCCAGGCACTGTCCTTATCAACATTTTCATGTGTTATATCGTTTAATCTTTGCATTAAGCCACCACTGTCCTCTCCATTTTAAAGATGACTGAAGGGGAGGGGCTTTGAGCAACTTGCCCAGGGCCTCGGGCAATTACTGGCAGAGCCCAGTCCCAGCGGGGGCCGTGTGACCCTGTGCTCCACTCCCAGGACAGCCCAAACCCACTTTCAGGGACTGTTCGTGCTCCTGGATCTGCCCTTAATCCAAGTGGAATCGCTACATTTCATGTTCCAGATAGAGAGCAGAGCCATGGCCTGTCACCCAATGCGCAATAAAGCACAGTTACCAGAAACCAGTCATGAGGACTGACTGCCTGGGAGGCAAATATATGATCCATCTCTAGATACAGAGAAGCTGGCAACACTGAGAGAGAGAGAGAGAGTGTGTGCCAGCGCGCACGTAGTCATTCAACTACGTGGGGGGGAGGGGGGGAGGCAGGGGAGGGAGACAGAGACCAAGAGCCTGTGCCCAGGGGAGAAATGAGCTTGAGCTGTCCCCTCAGGCACCCAGTTCCCACATGCCTCTCATGCCAGGAGCGGGCCTGCACTGACTCTCATTCCAAAGCTATGAAGGTAAGAATTTTTTGTACAACACAGCACCTAAGTGCAAGCCAACTTCCTCATTCCGGACTCCCCGGGAACCAGCCATCTATCTCAGCGTTAGAAGGAGGGCTGCCTGGGGACAGTGTACAGATCTCGCAGATTCATTGACCAGATGTGTTTCCTCCTTTTGCCCTCATCCTGCAATCACAACCCCCTACGTCACCCTTGGATTAAGCCAGATGGTCAGGGAGCTGCGCATGCATGCAGAACTAGGGACCATGAAACGCCTGCAGCTGCTGGGCTTGCTCAGAGTCGGGAAGACCTGCATGTCCACTTTCCCGCCCAGGGGAGCTACTCCCTCCTTGAGCTTCAGGGCCATGCGCGCTGGTACTCCAGGTGGTGTGTGTGCATCGCATGGGCAGCTCGTACAACCACACTGATGGTCTCGGCCTCTCCTTTAAGATGTCCACAGCATCCAGAGCTCATCTTTAACACAGAGTCCAAGGCATGACTCCAAGTATTAACCTTATTTCTCCCCACCTGGCTTTCCCTTCTCTCCCTTATCTTTTACTTTATTCAGTCGTTTTTGTATTTTCAGGTACTTCAAATTTGTTTTTGGAAAGAGGCAGAGTGTAAATTAATCAATTAAAAATTGAGAATCAGGCATAAAATAAAATAATTTGCCCGCATCTCCCCAGTCGGCCGTCTCTAAGTGTGGAACGTGAAGTGAAGCTCTGACTCAGCGTGGCAGTGACTGGTGATCAAATGACAAAGGAAAAGCTGGAGGGCGCACACTGACCTCCTCAGTGCCCGCAGGCAGCAGGTCAGTAGTAGCCATGTTCAGTGCCAATTTGCCATAAAAGACCTTCACTAACTCTCTCAAGAAAGCTTTAAGGAATACAAAATACAGCGCAGCAGACATTAATACGCTAAGAAAATACCCAAGAGTTAAAACCTTTCAAAGACTGCCACGATCTCTACAACAAAGAATTTATTATTCAATCTGACATTCAAATAGAAGCAGAGCTCTGCAACTTGAATAATCTACAGTAAAGCCTCTTTTTTCCTAGTAAGATGGCTAAAATATGTGTATTACACCTGTGATAAAGAAGCAATTATGTCTTCTTTCAACTGGTCCTTTGCAAGCTACCTCTGCATGGGAGGCAACTTCCTACTGTGAAGGTCGTCCCTGATGTCACTGGAATCTTCACATTCAGTTTACTCAAAACTGGTATCTAGCACCGCAAAAGCTTGCAATCAAACTATGGCAGACTAAACACAATAGGAGAGAAGCATTTTCTTAGGAAAACTGGGTAACTGATGTTCCAGCAATAGAACAATTAATTCATGAACTGGCCTGTGATGATTCCCAATGTCACATGTTAATTTGTCATTTATGCACCATGCCTTTTCCTTTCATTCTTTCTTTTCTTTTCAATCCTCTCCCAGGGATATGTGTATTGATTTTAAAGAGAAAGGAAGGGAAAGGAACATCAATCGGTTGCCTCCCATACACACCCTGACCAGGGGTCGAACCCGCAACCTAGGTATGTGCCTTGACCGGGAAGGGAATCTAACCCGCAACCTTTTAGTGCATGGGATGACGCTCCAACCAACTGAGCCACCTGGCCAGGGCCATGCCTTCTTTTTTATTTATTACACTTTCAATCAAAAGAAAAATGTTTAACTGAGCTAGTCAATCAACAGGTTCCTGAATCCAAGTAACTATGACCAGCCACTCTAGAGGAACCATGGCAGCGTCCATCGGGCACACAGTAATTCACATCTGTGTGTCAGAGCGAGGGGGAGCTAGGGTTGTGATCACTGTCCTTTCCTGTCTCCGGGTCGCACACCCATGAACTCCTGAACATGCCAAGCACCCGCAACCCTGTGTCTGCTCCACCAGAATGCCGTTCCCACACCTTCCCAGCCAGTTCTCTGCCTGCAAGTCTTTGGGTCTCCTTCATTCTCAGCCCTGGGGGAACTCCCCACTAGTCCAAGAGAACCAGTTCCCACCTCCATGCTCCACTGGCACTCAGTCCAGAAGCCTGCAGTAGCACCAACATCCATTATCTTCACTTCCAGTTACCGCCCCAGCTAGTCTATAACCACCCCCCCACCCCCAAAATAGAGACTTTTTTTTTTTTATCCTTAGGCCCAGAATTGGCATTCACTAATTGTTCTGTTCGATTCAAGTTTAAAGTAAGTGATGAGACTATTTGCATACTCAGAGTGACATCTGACTTGTGATCCAAACCCCTCGGAAGCCAGGCCCGAGGCAAGCAGTGGAGTCAGTGCGCTGGAAAAGGGAACTATGAGGCCTCGGCTCACCCCTCCATCTCCATTAAGAAAGCCACATGTCCTGGACCCCAAAACATGAAAAATGTCTTATGTTAAGAGGTAGATATCTTCTGATTGCAACTTAACAAACATCTAATTTCTCTTCTACACTATACAATAAATGGCTAAGTTTAAAGGGGAGGGAGAGGAGCTGTAACCCGATTAACTATATTTTAAATTTCTTGAGAGCAGAGACTATTTCTTAGATGTCTGTATCCCTCTATAAAGGGGCTGGGGGAGACTCTTTCATCTAGACCAGTGGTTCTCAACCTTCCTAATGCCACGACCCTTTAATACAGTTCCTCATGTTGTGGTGACCCCCAATTTCATTGTTACACATTGAACATAATTAAAGCATAGTGATTAATCACAAAAACAATATGTAATTATCTATGTGTTTTCCGATGGTCTTAGGC